TGTGGGCCCCCCCCCCCCCCCCCGTTCTGAAATTTGATTTGTCCTTTTCATGTGTTTTTTTTTTATTTGTATGCTTTGGTATATATGGTTGTGAATTTTCTTCCACTATTTGATCTGAGAAAGTGGGTCTGGCCCACAAAAGCTCATCACCGAATAAACCATCTTGTTAGTCTTTAAAGTGCTACACAGTCCTGTTTTTTGTTTCAGCTAGACCAGACTAACATGGCTACATTTTTACCACTAATTTAAGTTAAATTATCCAAGGTAGTGAGTCTCAACCAGGCATACACAGTAGTCTTCCAGACTGTGTCTTAACTTGCTAGATAGCTTGCTCATTCTGGAAGTTATGAGTGTACTACCAAAATCAGTTTTACAGAGGTGAACAACTTCAGTAATAGTGCTGTGATTTTTTGTAAGCAAGTACTTTGAGGTAAAATGTGGAGTACTTAAAATCAGATTCCTGAAAGGGATACAGTAGTGTGGAAAAGTTGAGAACCACAGATTCAGGTCACCTCCACACTGGTGTCTGGGTGCTTTTCTAGTGGTGCAAAGTCAGTCTCCTCCAGCAGAGATCAAATGAGAAGAAAGGAATGTTTAACAGAGCATGTACCAACATCACAAGTCAGTAAGGCTGTGTCTAGACTGGCAAGTTTTTCCGCAAAATCATCTGCTTTTGTGGAAAAACTTGCCAGCTGTCTACACTGGCTGCTTGAATTTCCAGAAAAGCACTGACGATCTTACGTAAGATTGTCAGTGCTTTTCCAGAAAGGGGCCAGTGTAGACAGCACAGTACTGTTTTCCACAAAAAAGCCCCAATTGCCATTTTAGCAATCGGGGCTTTTTTGTGGAAAACCCCATCTAGATTGGCCACAGACGCTTTTCCGCAAAAAGTGCTTCTGTGGAAAAGCGTCCTACCAATCTAGACGCGCTTTTCCAAAAATGCTCTTAACAGAAAACTTTTCCGTTAAAAGCATTTCCAGAAAATCATGCCAGTGTAGACGTAGCCTAAAAGTAAAAGGGTATGACTATGAATATATAGGGTAAAGAACCAATAGTGTGTGTGGATTTAGCTATCAACTGTTTCAATATTATCAGTGAAGACTGCTTAATTTGATACCACAAGTCCTATATTTATTTTTTATGGACAAGGCCAAGGTTTCACGTTCAACATGCAAAAACTAATACTCAAGCTCCTTGACCATTTTTTAAAATTATTTTTAGATTAGAATCTCAAGTGTCATGGTCAGATAATTCATTCCGATATTGCTTTATTTTAATGCAGCAGCCATTTCTTATTAAGAATGCCTTTAATAATCAGCCAGAAAAGCTGGTAATTGAATATCAGAAGAGTAGCAGTGTTAATCTGGCTCTGCAAAAGCGACAAGGAATCTTGTAGCACCTTATAGACTAACATATGTATTGGAGCATAAGCTTTCGTGGGCAAAGACCACTGATGATTAATTGTATACTGTGTACAATTCACTCCATTTAACTCAACATGGCTGTGTCTAGACTGGCCAGTTTTTCCAGAAAATCAGCTGCTTTTCCAGAAAAGCTTGCCAACTGTCTACACTGGCCACTTGAATTTCTGCAAAATCACTGACTTCCTACTGTAAGAAATCAGTGCTTTCTGCAGAAATACCATGCTGCTCCCGTTCCGGCAAAAGTCCCTTTGGCCAGTGCAGACAGCTGAGATTTGTTTTCCCTAAAAGGCCCTGATTGCAAAAATGGCGATCAGGGCTTTTTTGCCCAAAAGTGCATCTAGATTGGCCACGGATGCTTTTCTGCAAAAAGTGCTTTTGCGGAAAAGCATCCTGCCAATCTAGACGCTCTGTTCCAAAAATGCTTTTAACAGAAAACTTTTCCGTTAAAAGCATTTGCGGAAAATCATGCCAGTCTAGACGTAGCCCATCTGTATTTTCCTTGCAAATAAAGAGATCCTAGACCAGAATAGCACTAGTATAGCAATTCCTTGCATTAAAACTTCAAGATTAAAGCAAACGTGATATAACACTCTTTAGAGACATTTAAGGAAATTAAATCACAAGGTTTTTTCGAAGCATGATGGATTTAATCTAAATGCACAAAAAATATCAAAGACTGATGTACCATTCTCTCCCACATAGGAAGAAAAGCATTATGCAGTTTGATGCTCTAATTACACTCCCATTATATGAATTTTTGCACCCTGGGTGGGATCCCCATGCAAGGCTTCAGAGTTTACAGTGTTAGTCTCATGGACATACATGAAAGCCAGGTTGATGAAGTCTGAATCCCTGGTTATTAAAAAGGTTGCCAATGCAATTAAAGGGTGGTCTACCCTGTATAACACCCTGTGTTTGTGTTTTTGAACAAGTGTTTCATTACTAAGGAGCACATTTGAATTTAAGAGTAATCCTGATAGTCTGCCCAGCCATCATGGAATCATAGACCCTTCTGTAAATCATGGAGCAATTAACTATTTCCAAGCAGCAAGTGGCTTCTCAATTACAGGCAGTCCCCGGGTTACATGGATCCGACTTACATCGGATCCCTACTTACAAACGGGGTGAGGCTACCCCGCACTAGCTGCTTCCCCCCCAGCAGACCAGGGAGACGCGGAGCGGCTTTTCTCAGCAGACACCTCAGATTGAGAATAAAGGACTGAGGGAAGTGAGGTGTGGGAGAATAAAACTGAGCTCTGGAGAAATGTTTGGCTAGAGTTTCCCCTACAATATGTACCAGTTCAGACTTACATACAAATTCAACTTAAGAACAAACCTACAGTCCCCATCTTGTATGTAACCTGGGGACTGCCTGTACTTGCATTTTACAACTGTAGTGTAGTAGTACCGACTGACTAATTATTCCAAATATTAAATTTAGAGATGAATGTAACGCAACTCCCTCTACCTTGAAATGGCATTAAGATGTGCCTAACTAATTATATTCTGCATGGAAAGTTAAATGCTTACAACAAATTTGTAACCAAAATTTTAATCCCAAGGATTTCACAAAACATTTAACAAGTGACATGAAAATTCTTGCACAGTAAAGAAATGTTCATTTCTCATTTCTACAATGTACCCATATGCACTCAAGTTGTGTAATTTGGTCTGCTCAGAGACTCTTGAATAGAGTTAGCCTAAGATGCAAGTTACTGTACTTTTTTTAAATCTCTAATCACTTTTAAGTACAAGATTAACTAGGCCAAGAGATTAAAAAAAAATCTACATTTTACATAATGTAGCTCTTCAGAGTTCCAAGTGTGAAGTCAAGAGACCTTCCCAAGTAACTCTATAAAACTTCCTGCAAATCAATCATTCCCATTACTTGCTATTGGTTTGCAATTTGACTTCCTTCCAAGAACTACTAGGAATCACCATCTTGTTCTGGACAGACTGAATAGCTTGATATTGTAACAGATGTTTATTACAGTGAATATTTACTACAAACTTCCTTTCAAAAGTTATTGACACTGAATATCCAGAAGACATTCCAGGACACTACATGGAGACTAGAAACATTCTTCTGTCTATGCAAAACAAACTGAACACCACTCAAAGCAAGTGAAAATTAAGCATACGGGTACATTGTAAAACAAGTTTATTACAAATCATATGATCTGTTCAGAACCATATACAGATTCACATCTTTACATTTGTCACCTGTTACAAGAAACAGCAAGTTCAACAGCTAAAACATTTTAAAAATGCACCAAGCTTTATGAAGTCTCAAACAAAACACAATGTTCTGTACACACTCCTCCCTCCTGTGCTCAGATCTAATGACTTCCTGTACACAGCTCCTCCTGAAGTCCTATTTCCTTTCATTCGACCTAGAGCGACTAAATGAGAGAATGAAAGTTAGTGCATTTGAAATGGATCACATTTTATTATTTTACTTGGGGAAGTTGACTTTTCAAGCCAACTGCAAATTATACTTGAAAAGTTCTTTTAATACTGAATCGAATGGATGAAATTAAACATTTACACAAGTTTCCTTGAGAACTCATCTAAACCACTAGAGAAAAATGTGAACTGTAGCAGAGGTTTTATTTACAGCATCTATGATAGGACATAAGTATTTCAAAATTAACTGGAAAACAAAAGAGCCTATTTACATAACTTTTTTAAAGTACAGTTTCATAGTCAAACATTTCTGAAGATGCAACATATCCTTACCTACGAGACCTGGAAAAGGAACGGGAAGGCTTGTGATTTCTCTCCCGTGAAAGTGATCTCTCTCTTCTTCTGTCTCTTGAGAGGGATCTACAGGATTACAATGAAAAATGAATAATCCAGTTTAAATTTATTGCATGGATATTGTTTGAATATGAATGGACCATTACTGTGCAAAGAAACATCTAAAGACAGGTCAAATGTATTCAAGTGTCTTACAACTTCTTAGTCAGGAAAAGTTTCCATTAATAAAGGCAGTTTTGATAGTAGCCTCTCCTTCCTCACATACTTAGAGGAATAATCAACTTGAATTTTGCTATTCCTCCAAACACCTATTGCATGCTTACATTTAATCAAGCCAGTTTTAAAATGTTACATGTACAGTACCAACCCGCTAGTTTCCACCTGACAGTTTGTGCTCAATCAACAGCTACATGCTATTAAAGCAGCTTTTTTCTAAGAACCTAAATGCATCTTACTGATGGGTGCAAATTTTCTTACAAGTACTCAAGTAGTTTGAAATAAGGGAGAATGCAACCTGTAAGACTTAAATTTGCTGGAAGTAAAAGCTAACTCTAGAGGCAATCAGTTTTAAGAGTACAAGAGTCTTAAGGCATTATCAATTTCCCTAGCAGTTTGTGTAGCAGCAAGGAAACAATATATTAATGCAGGGGTTCTTAAACTACCTTGCTCCACAACCCCCTTCTAACAAGTGTTACCCCACAACTCGGGGTGGGGAGAAGCCCCAGAACTTCATCTCCAGCTAAGGCCTGGCATACTGAGCCCTACTGCCAAGGGCTGAAGCCAAAGCCTGAACAGTGGGATGGAGGCTTCAGACCCAGGCAGTCAGTCCTGGAAACCACATTAAAATAAGGATCCAACCCACTTTGGGGTTCCCACCCACATTTTAGCACTGTGGTATTATGCCATGAATACAATATGCTAGAAATGTTCATGTTGTAAATCCAAAGCCAAGGAATTATTTCTCTCCCGTCAAGGGGATTGAAACTGTCTTTTATAAGTATTACTCTCTGGAACATTTACCACATTCTAACAGTTTTGTAAATTACTTTCAATATGACACCTGAGTGCATACAATCAGGGATTTTACCAAAAAAGATTCTGTAGAAAGTATGCTGGGTAGAACGAGAACAATTGTTGCTTACCTGCTGCGGCTACGAGAAAAGCTTCTCCTTCGCGGTGATCTAGAACCAGAAACAGAAAAACAAGACTTTTTATCCATTTCTTTAGAATGAGTGGGGTGAGGTATTTCCCAACTTGTCAAACTCACTGTTGGGCCCAGTGAATGTGCCAAGAAACAATTGGCACCCATCGTCCAGTAAAAATGCATGGAGAGATTAATGCAGTAAAAAAGCTCAGTGTGAACAGCACTTTTCCAACCAAGAACTCATCTTAACTAAATCCTTCACAGCAGACCTGTCCAATGCAACACTTCCATTTCAACTAAATCCACTGCCCAGAACACCACACCAAAGTCCCACGAGTGGTTCCAAAAAACAGCATAGACCAATGTTTTGGAACCCATGCAAGCCAAGAGGTCCATGACAAGACAAGAGCTGCCAAGTGGAGAAAGTGAAAATGCCCTCTGTGTAAATACTGATATGCCATTAAGTGCTACATTAGAACGGCGTATTTGTGACAGGCATTTTCTGAAATGCCATAGAGTGTGTTTAGACTTAAAAACCTTAGCTTGGCCCAGTTCATCCCAAAAAAAATAGTTGTTTTTAAGTTTTGAAAACTGTTAGTAAAACCATTTAAAGGTGATAAGACTTGGCAGATTTGCAAGGAAAGCTACATTTGTTAGAGCTTTATTAAAAATTTAGTTTGGCATCTCACATGCAAATATACCTCATTTCCTTTTGGTTTTATTTACATTAAAAGTTTCCTTATCACCCTTAAAAGTTTTATTCAAGCAACATATGTACGTTACCATTCAATTATGCACAGCCAGCCTTTGATTGAGAAAAATAATTACTTATAAGCCGCTTACTCCTTATTTTAACCAGCAGTAAACTGTATAAGCAGGAAAAACTTACTAGTTTTTGGTTTCAACAAGCTAGAAATGGTGAGGTGAGGCTGCCGGACTGACTGCCAAGAAGAATTTGCTGAAAAGGTTTTGCCAGATGTTGCGTTGTATTTAGTTGGTTGGCGAAGGGGGTGTTGTGGATTTTTCCTGCTTTTTTGTTAGCCGAAGGCTGCTGCTGTAGTTGTTGTGAAGACATTTGGTAAATAAACAGCTGAGCTGATTGGCCGGGAATGTGTGGGCGGTCGAGGTGGCTGCTGCCGATTTGGTTAAGGTTGGAGAGAAGGCTGAGAGAAAACAGCATGCTCGGGAACCAAAGGGCGGTGCAACCTGACGACTGGCCATGCCTGGGTCATGTGAAACGACACCAGCCAAGCAGAATGGGGCGCGCTGGTCACATGACGCTGAAAGGGCTAGTTGACTGGCTAATGCAGACTCAGAGGGTGGTGAGAAGAGACATGATGGTGACTCTGTAACGGGTTCATTTTTATTAATAGATGGACCAAAAAGCATAAAAAAATGAAAAACAAGCCATCAGTACAACCATCTAGCAGCTAACATACTCCTATTGTGGGTTTTTTATTAGCAAAAGGGACATGGTTTCAAACTTATCCTGTGAGAACTTCACTCACCTGGCAATAGTTAAATTCAGTCCTGTATGAACCATGTTGTAGGCTGAGACGTGCAGAGTTCTAACACATTCAGACACGTTAGTCCAGATCCAAGAAAGTAGGTAGTTACCAAAAAAACCCTGCTATATTTTAGGCTTGGGTTTGCAAAACTCAAATGACAGATACTGTCACAAGAGGTTTTAAACTCTTTACTAGGGTTAAATTAGATTTGTACATTTAAATGCAACTGTTACTTGTTTTAACATAATTAAACAGCTGCCTTCAAGGCAAATATTTGAATTGTTAAAGGGGAGAAATGCATTTGCATGGAAAAGTTAAGTTGCTGAATGTAATGTTTGTCATTATGGAGTAAAAGAAAGGGAACAACCTAAGTAGATGTATGGGAAGAAAGCGACTACAAGATGTGCAGATTTTAGGAAGAGAAAGGATAAGTCCAAGGCAGAGGGTGCTGGCTATCAACTTACAGTGACTTACAGACAAAAGCCAATGTTCAATACAATTTATGTTCTCTTGATTTTATATAAAATGTCTGGCATCTCCAAATTGTGATCAGGATGTTTAAGATGTTACCCATGAACATGCTTTAAAGAAAGCCTGCTTCTATGGTGCTAAATGACAACAATTCAACAGCTCTATGCACTGTCTTTGACCTAGGGTACCTGCGGCGAGGAGGAGGACTTCTTCTGCGATAATCATCTCGAGGACGCCTACCCCAGGATGGCGGCGGACCACGGTTACGACTCCGTTTTTCACCATTGGACAGCTCCACCCTGACTCGGCACCCGCAGAGAGTTCTGGGAAAAAAGTTACAGTTAATACTCTAAGCAATAAATCGGTCTGCTCTGAAGACATACTGGCACGCACTGGAAAAGAAAACATTGTGTACATATAGCACTGAAAAATTGCTAGGGAGATAATCTCAGATGGAGATTCCACTAAGTGCAGGTTAGACAAACACTTGTTGGAGATGGAAGGAACCTATGTATCTAAACAAATGCACACATTATAAAGAAGTCAGATTCAAAGTGACCCAAGCCTCTCCTGTCTAGTTACTTAACACCAAGAAAGCACAGAATCTACCCAAGCGTTTCCTGGGGATGAATTTTGTAGATTTAACTTCATTAACTCGTGTAGCTTTCTCTCTCATGTAAAGCTGGAAACTCAAAGCTCAATTTTAGTGAACACCTGCAGCTTTATACCTTAACAGCATTGCTGTCCTATGTCAAGACTAATGGTTAAAATAAATTTTACAGTATACCCTAGAACTCTGGCTTCTCCAATACCATTTGAGTGAAAAATCCTGCATCTCCTCTCTATGTAGAATATTTATTTTACAAGGAGAGTAACTAGAAAATGTGACTAAAATGAAATTATAGCATTTATCACAAGTATAATTTAATGGAAGTCACAGTTGAATAAGTTTAGTGAAAAGCCCATACTCGGTTGTAGCAAAATCAGGATAGATTGCTCAGCTGGTTAATACTTTAAATCTAGCTGGTAGTCAAAACAAAATTTTAATATCACTTTAAAAGAGCTATTTAACATTCAGCTATCCTTATCTCTTCCACTTCGAAATTAAAAAGCTGTGTTCAGAGACACTAAACTTAGCTCTACTGAAGTAATAAATACACTTCTGAGACGTTTTATGAATACTACTATTTCATGTTTTGTTTCACAAGAATTAAAAGTTCCTTGTGAAATGTTGACTTATTGTCCATCTCTGATACTCCACATACCAGGTACAGGTGGAATCCAACTCTTCTGAATTCTAGAGGCTCTCAAAGTACTTCTAGATGTATTACCAGGTATTTGGAATTTTCAATCTCAGGCCAAGTCTATCCTAGAAAGTGTTTGCCAGCATACCAGCAAATCCACTTACGTAGAGACATCTTATCCCAACAAAACATTTCCTATACCAGATCCACCAAATGAAAAAGTACAGAAGCAAAAGAACTACACTTTGTTGGTGTAAATGCACCTACTGCTAAGGCACTGCCACTATAGATAGAAAAATCATCCCAGCCTACATTACACCCAGCAAAGGGGTCTCAATTTGACTTCAATGACCAAGAATATCAAATATTGAGATTAACCACAAAAAAGTCTATTTACATAGTTAGCAACCTTAATTAAGAGTTATTCTGGTTTATAAATTTGAATTAGTGGGCAAGTAATTCAACAACTGAATGGCTAGTTAATCTCAATGCCATGATATTACTGGATCTTGGTTAATTTAAGTGTGAATACAAATTGCTTAATCATTGTAATTAAATTAACTGCATAGTCTAATTAACAAATTTTACCTTCCATCTAGTTCTCTTACTGCATCAGCAGCATCTCGGGGATCTTCAAATTCAACAAAAGCAAAGCCAGGAGGATTTCTAGCAACCCACACACTGCGCAGTGGTCCATAGTAGCCAAAAGCTCGTTCCAATTCAGTTTTGTTGCCATTGTTTCCAAGGTTACCTACATAAACCTTGCAGTCCAGTGGACAAGAGTCCCGATGCATCACTAGGAAAGAAAACCCAGTAAGTTTAAAAAGCAGATTCCCTCGGCCTACAATTGCAGTATTTCCCTCGGCGGTTAGGCTGCTGCCTGCACTGAAACGCGCAGATGCTAGGCCTGGATGTGCAAGTCTCTCCTCATCTCACCCCGTCAGGCGGCATTGCTGCGTCCTGAGACCCCAGAGACCTGCAAACCCAGGGCCGGGGCGCAGATGCCCGCAGCCCGCGGACCCGGGAGATAAGGGGCGTCGCAGGGACAGTCGGACCCTTCGCTCGCGCGTTAACCCGA